ATCAGTGGTTCTCAACCTTCTGGCCCTTTAAATACAGTTCCTCATGTTGTGACCCAACCATAAAATTATTTTCGTTGCTACTTCATAACTGTAATGTTGCTACTGTTATGAATCGTCATGTAAATATCTGATATGCAGGATGGTCTTAGGCGACCCCTGTGAAAGGGTAGTTCGACCGCCAATGGGGTTGCGACCCACAGGTTGAGAACTGCTGCTTTAGATTCTTTTGTTTCTCTCCATTTTCACCCCTTCGTATGTCCTTGACTCAAGGACCTTAGGCAAAGCCTTTGCCCTTGTCCCCCTAAAAAGTCCAAGAATGCAGAAGCCTTCGGACCCTAAAAGCGACAAATCCCATCAGTGGCAGCCTCCCTTGCAGCCCTCCTCCAGATCAGCAGCCGCTAGAGGTCTCCATCTCTAATGCGGGTGGAGCCTTCTTTTTCCTCTTGGGTGTAGAGGTAAAAAACACGGGGTGGGCTCTGGCACGGAGTCCCACACTTGTCACTTCCTAGTTTTGTTACCAAACTCAAGGGGTTCAGTGTTCAAGAATGAGGCGTTGTTGTCACAAAGTAGTTTTATTTATTTGTAGCAAGTTAAGGAGAGAGGGATTCACATGCAAGGCTCTGCCTCCCTGAATTGTTTCCTTGCCGTTGGCTACATGTACCCAGGTGGCTACATGTATCCAGTTGAGAACCCGTCAAGCTCATCCTGTGTACTGCTGCATCTGCCAGATACTGTGCTACATTTTAACATTTAGATTCACAGTGGTTCTCAACCTTCTGGCCCTTTAAATACAATTCCTCATGTTGTGACCCAACCATAAAATTATTTTCGTTGCTACTTCCTAACTGTCATGTTGCTACTGTGATGAATCGTCATGTAAATATCTGATATGCAGGATGGTCTTAGGCGACCCCTGTGAAAGGGTCGTTTGACCGCCAAAGGGGTCGTGACCCACAGGTTGAGAACCACTGCTTTAGAAGAACAATATTTGGCAATAACATTTAGAACTGCCCGGACCGTGAGACCCTGTCCCATCTAATAGCTTGTGACCTTGGACAAGTGATTAGTCTCTCGGTGAGGTGGTTTTCTGACATTTATTTATTTATTTTTAAATATGTTATTTTTTAAAACAATTCAGAAAGAGAGGAAGAGAGGGAGGGAGAAACACTGATGCAAAAGAGAAATATGGATCAGCTGCCCCCCCTCTTGCACCCCAACCGGGATGGAGCCGGCAACCTGGACCTGTGCCCTGACCCAGAATCAAACCCGAGCCCCTTCAGTGCACAGGTCGACACCCAACCCACTGAGCCACACGGGCCAGAGCCAGTTTTCTTTCCTGGGGTTGTGTTAAGAAGAGACCAGTCGATGCAGTGCACATGCCTTTGCGTAGTGCCTGGCAAAACACACGTGCTGTGTAAAGGCTTGCGATTAATGTTCCTCAACCATTTCTCCTTGCCCGCCATTCATTCAACAAATATTTATTGAGCCTCCGTGTGCTGGATGCTAGACACACACAGAACACATATGAGCCCTGGCCTCCAAGAGCACACATTTCAGGAAAGGCGAGCCCGCTGTGTGCTCTGATGGAGCTGGTGCCCTGGAGAGCAGACAGGTGCTTACGTCTCTGGGAGGAGGGACAGTGTCAGAAAAGCTCCAAAGAGGAAGTTTCTCTTTTTAATATTTTAAAAAATATATTTGTATTGATTTCAGAGAGGAAGAGAGAGGGAGAGAGAGAGAAACATCAATGATGAGAGAGAATCATTGATAGGCTGCCTCCTGCACGCCCCACACTGGGAATCAAGCCCGAAACCCGGGTATGTGCCCCGACTGGGAACCGAACCCGTGACCTCCAGGTTCATAGGTCGACGCTCAACCACTGAGCCATGCCAGCTGGGCAATATTTTTAATTTTTTAAAAATATATTTGTATTGATTTCAGAAAGGAAGGGAGAGGGAGAGAGAAACATCAATGATGAGAGAGAATCATTGATGGGCTGCCTCCTGCACGCCCCCTATTGGGGGTCGAGCCTACAACCTGGGCA